TTGTGTGTGTGTGTGTGTGTGTGTGTGTGTGTGTGTGTGTGTGTGTGTGTGTGTGTGTGTGTGTTTCTCCCTCTCTTGCATGGGGTGCCTGTAAACATCTCAATTTTCTTTTAACCAGCTCATCAATTCTCATTAGGTTCAGACAAATCTATATGTGTTAGGAGAAATGGAAAATAAAAATGATTCTCTGAAGGACTACACTCAAACTTGGCATGAGATGAGCTTTGTCAACTGCAAAACCAGGTCTCTGGTACAAGAAGCAACCCTGTTTATCCACACATATGGCATGACCCTCTGTGTTACAGATGGACAAGTGTGTTCACTTGGGTTTCTGCAGTTTTGAATCATTTTGAAGCTCGAGCTCGTTCTGTTTCATTTCTACACTGTATGATCTTTCTCTCTCTCTCTCTTTCTCTCTGTTTCCACCTGGGTGGTTTTCAAGGACACCAAAGCCGGCGATGCGCGCGCGGGAGGGGGGGGGAGAGGATTAAGCGCAAGGCCAGCTGCGCGGGTGCGCGCGGGTGTGTGTGAGCGAGCGAGCCACCCAGCGAGCGCTCCCTCCTCCTTCCTTCCTCTCCCCCCCCCAGCTCTTAATCGCCTCCTTCCATCACCCACGTCGCTGCCACCCGTCCTCTCCGGTCCCACAAGTGGACACTGCGGGCGAGTTTCGCCCTTGTCACCTCGCGCTCTCTCTCTCTTTTGTTTTCTCCCCTTCACCCCCACCCCCTACGGTGGGGGGGGGGCGAAGGCAGAGGAACCCGGATTAGATATCCCTCTTTGGGACGGGAGGAGGAGGAGGAGGCGGCGGCAGGGGGGCTTCTCTTCTGCCTGCCGCAGCACAGCACACCCTAGCCAGGAGGAAAGGGAGCACCCCGCCGCCATAGGGAGCAAACGCGAGTGAGGGCGAAGAGGGAGCCTTCCTCGCTGTCCGGCAGTTCTTGAAGGGGGTTCTCTTCTCCTGCGGGATGCCCGGACGAGAGGGAAGGCCCCCGCGCAATATTTCCGCGTTTGGGGGGGGGCGGCGGAATGCAGCCTGAGGTTCAGATTCCGCCCCCCCCTCCTCTAGGGCCCCTGCAAGGAGTCCTGCCCAAGAACCTACACACTATTGCAGTGCTGCGGCGGCTTCGTTGGGGTGTGTGTGTGTGTGTGTGTGTGTGAGAGAGAGAGAGACTTTTCTTTTGGTTCCAAGGGATGCTACCGTTCCGTGTGTGCCTCCCTTACA